TCAGTTGCTAAGGGAGTAGATCTTAACTAGTCTCACAAGGACAAAAAAAGAACTATGTGGAGTGACATTTATCAACGTATTGAGCACATTACACATGAATATCAAAACATCGTATTGTGTACCTTAAATGTGTACAATTTCTATTTGTCAGCCAATCAGATACATTTTTTAAACAGTAGTATGTATTTTATAAGTAACAAAATCTTATTATTGGTGACTTTTTTCCAAGTTATAGATAAAATAGAGATGTCTGTTAAATAGTGGTACATCTTACTGTTATGACATCTTAGACTGAGAGAAACATGACAGTACATCTTTAGTAAATATTCACAAATTTGTTCCCAAAAACATTTAAATTCTCAGGAATTATTTTAAAATTATGATATTGGTAATATAATGAGCATAAAAGAATCTCTTTGATAGCTTCATCATACATCTTCATTTTCCTAGCATTGCTTTTGTTATCATGCATGTAAAAGTTTGGTTTTTCTACATGAAAGAAAGTTAAATGGTTCCAGACACACCCTGAGCAATGACGTTTTTTGCATGTTTGAGGTTTAAAGAAATTTCAGATACAAACTATTTATTTCAAATTGTACCTTTAATGTTGAAATTACGTTGAAATTTGTGGATAGTGCCTGAATAGCTTGTTTTCCTCTCTTCTTTATGATATATGTCTTTTCTTTAATAGTGTAAATTTTAAATTACTCTATAAATGAAATTGCTAAGGTCATGACAAATCAGGATGATGGTAATGTTACTGCTCCTGCCCCTTTTCCAAAGATCAAGCTCTATAGATTGTAATTGGTAAAGCCTGTTTTAGAAATTATCTTCTGCTAAATTCGTCTTCCACTGAAAGAACTAGTTAAATGCATGAATCTTGGACACTAAAAAGGCCCAGTCACCAGATAATGTCTTTCAAGATTATTTCTAAGCCGGGTGTGATGGCTCACGCCTGCAATCTCAGCACTTGGGAGGCTGAGGCAGGAGGATTGTTGAGAGTTGGAGACTAGCCTGGGCTACAAAGTGAGCTCAAGGCCAGCCTGAACTGCATAGTGAGACTCTGTCTCAAAAAGACAAAAAAAAAGATTATTTCTAAAGACGTTAATCTGAGTGGTTTTCTCTGTAAACTACAGACACTTAGTTTACCAGCAAAGATCCCAGTGGAAACCAGCAGATGGTCCATGGGTACTGTATGGAATTGACCATGTTGAGAAATGAATTCTCTGAGGCAGATGCAAGGAGGGACATGCATGTCATTTTCTACCCCTGGAGTTAGACACTCATTATTTGTCCAAGAAGTGGATGCTGTGATGGCTTTTGAGAAGGAGAAGTTATATTTTGTTTTTGAAGCTACTGCTTGCTTCCTCTCATTTTGAAATGCTACTACTGTGTACCATAAAGTGCATGGTGTACTATGACCTAAGAAAAAGAACACAGGCTTGGAGTCTTATAGAATCAGGTTGAAATCTCAACTTAGCCTTCTGCTCTGAGATTTGGCTTTGATATTTTTTAGCCTAGCTGAACTGCAGTTTCTTCAGTTGGAAAACTGGAAGAGTAATACCTATTTTGCCAAGCGATTGTGAGAATTGTGAATAACATGTGACATGCCTAAAGCAAGCAGTGCCTGACACAGAGTAGGAACTCAATACATGGTAGTAATTATTCCAAGTTTTAATTATTATGGTCGTCCACCACGCTTTCGTAAGAAACCTTTTGCCATTTATGACGGGATACCCCTTGATCTCCCTTACAAAAATAAAACTTGCTCTAATCACTCTGATTTCGTGTGATTTTTGCTAAGCAGAGCAGTTTGCAGCAACTTCACTGAACTGACCTCTTTGGATCTTGATTGTGTGTAACACAGATGAAGCATCCAAAAGTTTTGATCATTGGCTCTAAGTTCAATAAAAACTACTATTTTTTCAATTGTAGTTAACTTAGCTTTTTTATGTTTGCACCATTTCATTTAAGAAAATATGGATTCCCTATTGCAGGGTAATAGGAGAGAGCACTGCTCGTTCCTTTTCTGCTGCCTATACAGAAAATCTATGTCAACTATTATATATTGTAGTAAGAACCACTGAGCTGTCTATAATGGGCCAGATAATAAGCCTTTTAGACTTTTCAGGCCATCATCACTACTAAGCTTTGTTGTCAGAACATGGAAGCATCCAGGGAAAATATGTTAGTGCACAGATGCGACTGTGTTCCAATAAAACTTTACACATACAGACTGTTTTCCAAATCAGGCTCCTCACCATCCTTTGCCAGCCCTTACTCAATAGTGCGTTGGCGTATTGCTGAGCCCTATCACCATGGCTCAGAGGACGCACACAGTGTACCTAGCAAAGGACTTGAACCTAGACAGGACCTTCTGAAGCCAATAATTAGAGAATGTTTCCCAGACCATGGAGCTCTGCCATTGTTGGAAGACTACTCCCCCTGTGCCTCTCTGCTAGAGCTGTTCTAACAACCTGTGGCTGGCTAACCTTGTCTCATTTAAAGGCAGAGCATTTGTTCCTGATAGACATTCTGGTCCTTCTATACATTTAAACAACTACTGATCTCATTGCATGGAGTTTTGTTCTCTTATTCCTTTCTTTCTAAATTTGTTTTCTTTGTTCTTTCCTTTTCTTTCCTGTGCAACTCAGTGTTGTTCTGAGCAGTTTAGATTCTTTACCTTTTGCCACCAAGAAGATTCACACTCACTTACACGAGCCCCAAGACTTGCTCTCTTCTCAGTCATTGATGGGACTGCTTGCTGCACAATGATTCTTTATTTGTAGACAAAGTTTCTTCTTTGCTTTTATCTGCTTTATCTTTATTCATCTATTTAGTAGGAGTTCAAGGCCCACAGACTAAGCTAAGTCATGTTCTCAGCCCTGGGAATGCAATATGAATACAATAGACATTGTTACTGCCCTTATGGTGTTTAGCAAAGAGGACACACATTCAATAAAAATTGCACAAATAATTGGAGCTGCAATATATGATAGAAAGGAAAAATAGAATTCACAGTGACAGAAATCTAACAGGAGACCGAGCATGAGAAATCAGGAAAGGCTTCCCTGAGGAAGTGATTGTAAGTATGTAAAAGCCCTGAATAAATATTTATTAAACTAATGCAGAAATAAAACTGTATCTGAGATAAAACCTGAAAGATTGTCAAAAAGTAGCAGAACCTGTTGTGGTAGTACATACGTATAGTAGTCCCAGTGAGCGAGGCAGGGGATCGCTTGAGTCTAGGAGTTTAAAACCATCCTGGGCAACATAACAAGAGCCCATCTCAAAAGATATGAAAAGAATTGTTCAGATATAGTTTAGAGAATAAAGGGAGAGAGGAGTCCAGACAGAGAAAAGTCTTTGGGAAGGACGGAGCGTGGTTCCTTCAGTGAGGCCAAAGACAGCATGAGGGAAGGGAAGCATTGCTTCGCAGAACTGGCCCCTGGAGACAGCCAGGGCCTTGTTGCTGGAGTCCAGCAGGCTGTTTCAGGACCTGGACTTTGGCTTAGGATGGATGAGAAGCCATTAGTGGCCTTACGATGAGTTCCTAATTCCACGTGGCTGTAAATACATAAAGTTGCCAAAAGGCCAAGCTCTAGAAACGTGCTAGAGTTGATCTGAAAAATAAAATAAACCTGAATGAGTTGGTTTTCACATCTACATTTGAAACCCTTTGTCCACAGTGCACCTTTTGAGTTTCACTTGACAGCAGTTCAATCACTGTTGTACTGGTGTCTACTTGGGAAGTGTGAATCATATCCTAGTGAGAGGCCAATGAGAAGTATTTGTAGAATGGAAGACATAAGCATTCCAGAGATCTCTACAGAGGTTCTAAGGTTCAGGTTATAAGTTATTGTTCTCTTAGAGCTTATGATTTAAGAGGAAAGGTGTGTATTTCACATAAACGTAGTAAGCAAGCACATACCAAATGAGAAGAATATCAAGAGTTCAATAAAGAGGTCTTTTATACCACCGGCGTGGGAGAATCCCCTAATAAGAAATGACTTAGTAATAGAGGGTGAGCTTAGTATGCCTGAAGCCCTGGGTTTGATCCCTGACCCAGAAAGAAAAAAAGGAAGAGAGAGAGAGAGAGAAGAAAAGGAGGGAATAAGGAAGTGGAAAAAGAGGGAAGGGGAAGATAAGGGAGGGCAAAGAAGAAAAGAGAAAAGGAAAAAGGAACAGGGGGTTGGCGGATACAGCTCAGTAGGCACTTGCTTTCCTAGCACAAAGTTCTGGGTTCAATCTCGAGAACAAAAAATAAATAAGGAAGGAAACAAATAAGATAGGTCAGACCCTTTTTATTATTCATTTATCCCCTTCTTTCTCCTCATGTCCCCCTTCCATCCTGTCCTACCAGTTTTCTGGCCTGGGTGAGCTGCTACACAGTGTCTATTGAAAGAAATTGTTATACATTTTATCTAATTAATGATGTTAAAGATATTCTAGTCCATAATATTTTTTATTCTAGTTTTCTGAATTGTTCAAATGAATATGTATTTTTTGTTCTTTCTTTTTTTTTTTTTTTTTTTTTTTTTGTCTTTTTCATTTTTATCGGTACCGGGGATCAAACTCGCAACCGCCTGCTTACAAGGCAGGTGCTTATGCCGCTGAGCTGAATCCCCAGCCCCTATGAATATGTATTTTTAAAATTAAAAAACCCATATGTCTGAAGAAATTCTTACCTGTTACGGGAAAACAGGCAAAGGCCAATCTTTTGAAAATACATTTACAAAAAAAAAAAAAAAGAAAAATTTTTCTGTCACTGTTTTGAAATGGATTCTCTTAGGAGCTTTGCCAGTGTGCATTAAGTGACCAGCAATTTCCAAATGGCTATCCTAGGCTGACCTTATAGATTGAAATATGTGGGTTACATATGTGATGATGACAGTAATGAGTTATGAATTTAGCGACAAAGCTTTGCTTATAATTCCTTATTTCACCATCTGCCCAATTTCTTTCAAGAACCATCTTAACGTGTTTCTTCCCTCTTCCAGCGGAACGGAAGCCCCCACTTTTCAACATGAATGCCATGAGTGCCTTGTATCACATTGCCCAGAATGACTCCCCGACATTACAGTCCCATGAATGGTAAGACTTTGTAATCATTTCAACTCTAAGAAAATCACCATAGATAATTGATGACCTCGTTAAATTACATTTTCAGTATCTGACCTAGAAAACTTTTCATTCCTTCATTGTATATCAATAGTGATTCCTTACAAGCAACAACTGCCTATTCACGTGCATATGTGCGCGCGCGCGCACACACACACACACACACACAATTATTTCTATCCTCACTATTGCTTATACCTGAAATCAGTAGGGAAGTGGCCCCTGCCTTCCTCACAAATATAGTCTCTTACATCCTAGTAGTCAAGTATAGATCATCTGCATCTCTTATCACTTCCCCCAGAGGTAAACTGCCTTCTCTGATTTCACTATTTTTCCACCTATCCTTTTTTTTTTTATGATGCGTGTATTTAAATGTGTTGGGAAAAAAATACACTATCTATCGAGAAGGTGTATTGCTTCTTGTTGAAAATTATGACATAAACTATTTAGACCACAGGAGATATAGAAAATGGGCCATTTTAAAAAAGAGTAAACAAAACAGAATTTTCATGCTAGAAAGTATTTGTGTTCATAAAACATATTCCTAGGTCCTCTGTCCTAACTTATGCTTCAAGTTTGGCTTGTGGGCGATAGAGATAACAACTGGTAATGATGAATATAGCCTTGATGCTATGAAAGTTGTTATCTTTGGAGAGAAAAAGTATATAAAACTATCATATATAAATACAATATTTATAATATATGTAAATTATCTTGGTTACTTTTCTTTCATTGTTGAGGCAAAGTACCTGATTCCCAAAGTGAAGCAAGGAAAGGTTGTTGCCAAACCTTCAGGTTGTAAAGATGTATGGTAACTATACAAAGCAGACATTTAATAGTATTATGTGATATGTGTCAGTGACCAGAGCATTACACTGACTGCATTCATTTGATTTAAACATCAGAATCTCTTACAGTTTTTGCAGGCTTCAATCCATACATACTTTGCTAGTTCAAAGGCAAGGTGGCATGGCTAAGGAGCAGCCATTCATGGCAGCTGTGAGTGACAAGAGCTAAAGGGCAAAAGAGAAAAACACGTCAGCTACTTACGCCTGGGCCAGTACAGCGCTCACACCACCAATCCCAGCACTAGACAATGGACCAGTCACAAACGCTAGACTCAGCTGCCTCCATGATTGCAGGAGGCTTAGAGGCCATCCAAACACAAATCATAATATAAATATATGTAGTATTTTTTATTTTCTGATATGCTAGTCTTTGACCTGACCTTACTACCTTGTTTTTTCCTTACTTCCTTATATGTAAATATGTATGTTTATGATAACTGATTTAAAGCTATGCCCACACTTATCCAGAGGACTCATTTTAGATACAATAAACTTCAAAACCACTCCGTTCTAGTATTCCAAAATATTAAATTTTTTAAATTTAAAAATCAAGGGGCCAAAGGTTTAGCTCAGTGGCATAAGTGCCACCTTGGCAAATGCAAAGTTGTGAGTTTGATTCCCAGTACCAAAAAATAAAAACTTTTTAAAAAAATTTAAAAATCAAACCTTTACCTTGAATAAAAATTTCTTATGTAACTCGAGTTCCCTACAGCTCCTCACTGTGTTTTCTCTCAATGTGTTTGCACACAGGACAGACTCCTTTAGGAGATTTGTTGATTACTGCTTGCAGAAAATACCTCAGGAAAGACCAACATCAGTGGAACTATTACGGGTAATTTTTCACATTTGTATTTGAGAAGATGGCTTTAAAATCACGTTGGGGAGAACCATACTGAATCAGTACTGTGGCAGCTCACCATGACAAACTGCTTAATCACAGTTCACCTTGTCAACCATCCAGAAGTGGCAGTAGGCTTGAGAATAGTGAAAGTATCCCAGAATCTGTGCTACATAGTCCCTACCTCCTTTTTTTCCTGCCCTATCCTTTTCTGACTTATAATAAACAGTATTTCTTCTCCTTGTTGCATGGTGATGTTCCTGTACATGAACTTTAATGTAGTGCTCTCCAGATAGTCTGCCAGTGGTTCAGATGCCACCTCTGCAATGTTGAGTTAAGTTGCTGCCAAACCTTCAGGCGGTAAACATGTATGGTAACTGTACAAAGCAGACATTTAATAGTATTATGTGATATGTGTCAGTGACCAGAGCATCACATTGACTGCATTCATTTGATTTAAATATCAGAGTCTGAAGCACACTTTTCATTTTATATTTTACTAGAGATTTCATGCACAGGGAATATGGTCTATCAACATCAGTGTAATATGGAGGAATCTTTTACAACATAAGTATCGTTAATTTGGTGCAGAATAATCTATATTTCTAAACTATTTCAACCCTGTTTTGTTTCAAATCTTGATGGGTAGGTTTTGTTACTGAGCAGTTTGCTTGTTGAGTCAGAGGGTATGTTACCTAAGTATGTGAAGCTTAAAAATGTTAGCTGCCTTTCTCATCGAAGAACAGCACCTATCTAAGTCACAAATTTTTGGCTTACATTTTCTTTTGTTTGAAACTCTGTGAACATGATTCTATTATTTTCTGGTCTGAAGGACCAGAGGCAGGTCTGAAACTAACTAGCTTTTCCATCAAAAGGTAATGTGGAACAGGGCCAACGACTCAGCTAATCTCCTTTGTGGCAGAACCACTACATGTTCTAGACACTGCTTTATTTGTGAGCCACAGCTACCTCTTGACATAGCAGAAGACAGTCACTAGAACAAAGCACCAGAAATACAATATGGTATCTTTGAAGAAGGCAAAAATTTTAAAAATGAAAAGGAAAACTCCAATACAGTAATTCAAAGATAAAATCTTACAGAAGTAGACAACAAAAGGATAATAAAAGGAAGTGAGAAAAAAACATAACAGAGGTTAAAATCATAAGCATCAAAGAAACCCAGTGAGCCAACCCATTAGGATGTTTCAATGTTGAATAGAAATAAGGAAATAAAATTAAATGCAAAAGAATTAAAATTCTAGGGGGCTAGGGATTTAGCTCAGCAGCATAAGCGCTTGCCTTGCAAGCCTGTGGTGGTGAGTTCGATCCCTGGTACCAATAAAAATACAAAAAAAAAAAATTAAACTTCTAAACATGATTATAGAGAAAATGATACATACAGAAGGCAAAGAAGGCCTAATAAATATCAACCATTTTTCTTGATAAAATAAAACACAGGGAACAAAAAATACTTAAAGATATATCTGAAGAAAACTCTTCTGATAATAAATGTTTCTTTCAATCTTTCTACAATTAGATTTAGTCTTTAAAGGGGCCCATTACTTATTAAACAAATATTTACTGAGGGTCTGTTTTATGTCAATAATGTTCTAAGCAGTGATCATATAGTAATACACAAGAAAAAGACAGTTCCTGCCTTGAAGAAATTTACATTCTAATGAGGAAATAAGAAAATAAACAGAGCTGAAGTATAGTTCAGTGTAAACCACTTTCCTAACTTGCACAAGTCCCTGGGTTTAATCGTGAGCACTGCCAAAAAAGGGACAGGGGGACTTAAAAGAAATACAGTATAATGCCCTCAATGATTAAGGGAACTGACAGGATTCAAGCCTCCCAAGTTTGGGCAATACAACTTCTCTGAGCTTTTCTTCTCAAAAAATTGCTCAAAAACAAAATTCTGGGGGCTAGAGATTTAGCTCAGCAGCATAAGTGCCTGCCTTGCAAGTGCGCTTCGTGAGTTCAATTCCTGGTACTGATAAAAAAAAAATTCTGCCGATCTAGAGATGAGAGCCAAAAGAGAAGAAGCAGAAACAATTACAAAATCTTGCAAATCTAGAGATAAAACCAAAAAAAATGAAAAAGAAGGAAGGGGAGAGGAAAGAGGGAGAAAAAATAGGAGGGAAGGAGGGTTAAGGACTAGAGAAACTGGTACAAGGCTGGTAGTAAATACAGAATTAAAATACCATCCCTCCAAAGGAATTTTTGTATGTATAAAAAGATTTTAAATTCTTCATTGTCAAAAATGAATACAAGTGCTGGGGATTTAGCTCAGCAGACCTAAGTGCCTGCTTTGCAAGCCTGAGGTCGTGAGTTCAATCCCCAGTACTGGGGGGGGGGGGAAGAATACAAAATTAAAAAGGTAAAGATGTAGTAGAAAGTAGAACATTAGAAAATGAGTTTGCCCACACCAGGGCCATCTCCACAAGTCAGCAGCCACAGTTACCGAGTGTAGTGCATGTCCTCTGGCGGTATTTTATGCATATGGAAGTAAATATTCTTTTTATTTTTGCACAATGGTAGCAAACCATAAAAAGCTATTCTACATTTTTAAGAATTTATAGTGTGTTTAGGATATTGTTCCCTGTTAGTACATGCATAGCTGCCTCATTCTTTTTAAGGGCTCCTCAGTATTCTCAGATGAACCCTAATCTGCTTAACCAACCCATTAGGGTCTTCCCAGTCCTTAACTGTTACAGATTAGGCATCCTTGTGCATATTTCATTTCGTACCTTTATAAGGATATCTAAACACTAAATCCCACAAGTAAACATCCATAAAGAGAATGTGGGTTTTAAATAAATTCTCCTCCAAAAAGACTGGATCAAAGTCAGGTTTTCAAACATACAGTCCACTAACAAAGTATAAGGGTTTTTAAACTATGCTTATCAGGTCAATGAAAAATGTTTCTGACTCTAGTTTTAATTCATATTTCTCATTATGATTTAGATTATGTTTCATATATTGAAAGGCCATTTCTATTTTCTGTGAACTCTTCTTGGTCTTCATTTGTCTATTGAGTTCTTGAGTTTTTTTACTTAAGAGTGTGTGGTAGATCTTGCCATTTTTTCTTGTTTCTATTTTAACATTGTTTATACTAGACCTTTTTGGAGAAGAGGCTTGCTGAGAGGAACCATGCAGAAATTTTTGCAAGAAATGATGTAGGTGCCAGGCATGGCGGCACATACCTGTAATCCCAGCACTTGGGAGGCTGAGACAGAATCACTGTGAGTTCAAGGCCTACGTGGGCTACACAGAGAGTTCAAGGCCAACCTGAACCACATAGCAAGATACTATCTTTTTTTTTTTTTTTTTTTTTTTTTTTTTTTTTGTCTTTTTCGTTTTTATCGGTACCAGGGATCGAACTCACGACTGCCTGCTTGCAAGGCAGGCGCTTATGCCGCTGAGCTAAATCCCCAGCCCCGCAAGATACTATCTTGGAAAAAGGAAACGAAACAAAAGGAAAGGACGAAAGAAAGATCCAGCTCTCTCCCACCCCTACCAGTTGGCTATCTAGTTATTCCAAACTATTTTTCAATAATCCATCTTCATATTTTCTTCCTGAAATTAAAATGTCACTTTTACATTGAGTCCATTTAAATAGAAAACTAAGGGAAAATTACTGAATTGCTTAAAAATACAATGTAAATGTGATAGCTTTGGCAATGTAAAAATATGAATATGACCAGAAAAACTAGGGCTATAAAATTGTAAGGACACTAATTTTTCTTTCAGAGTAGATGACCAATACTGTTTCTCAAATGGAAATGTATCATTTTTTTTAAAAAACCCAAAAGTAACTTCAGTCACTTAAAACTTTTTGTAATCTTTTTTTCCCTTAGATTTAGGAATCTTTTGGGAATAGATAAATACTTTGGTGAAGAAATGTTAACTAAAGTTAAAAAATTATTTTAATTTAGTGTCTCCTGTTAAATTTGAGTATATCTTAAAATTTCATAGATTTCACTTATAATTATTGCATATAATGAGACCATATAAAATTCTTTCTAAATAGCCATTGTTCTGAGAAAAAAACAAAAAAGGACAAATGATATATAGAACAATACTCTATAATTTTACAGTGTTCCTGGATGATGAAATTTGGAATGACATCTTTTTACTTTTCTTTGTGCATTTTTCCAGGTTATTTGAATCTTTAAATATTTTTCAAGAATAATGAAATCAGGGGATGGGGATTTAGCTCAGCAGCATAAACACCTGCCTGGCAAGCAGGTGGTCATGAGTTCGATCCCCGGTACCGATTAAAAAAAAAAAAAAAAAGAATAATGAAATCACTATGTTTAAAACAGCCTGAATATCTTTAACTGTAGGAGATCAGAGATTTAAAAATAGTGAAGAGATGGGATTTTGGGCAAAGCATATGAGCAAAGACATAGAGGTGAAAATTCATGACATGGGGCTAGAACTATCTAAAATATACTATGCATTGGATAGAAGGGAGGAGCAGGAATGACTAGATCTAAATTTAAAACTACGAACAGAAGCCTGCCTATAAAAGACATGACTTTATTTGAGAAACAGTGAGATATTTTATGATGTCAATTATCAGTTTTAAGAGGGCTTATGCGGGCAGGGGTTTAATTATCTCATGAGTCCAAGACACTGGAAAAGGAGCTGTTACATGCAGCCCATAGCTCTCAGCAGATCAGCACTGTCACCATTAATTCACGCTTCTGTCTTCCTACCCCACCATGCTTAGCATGTGGCATTTATGTTCTTTGTCACAGAACAACTGCCGCATCACCAGGGCTCAAGTCTTTATTCCAGGCAGGAAGAAGGGGAAAGGGAAAACTCCCTCTCCTTATGTATCTTACCTTCTTATTCTAGAAAATAAAGCTTTTCTTGGAGATTTCTGCATATGCCTCTTCAGTCACAGCCTATTCTATAACTGCAAAGGACTGAGAGAAGTTATTTGCATCCATCTGGGGGCCCTTCCCCTTGTTTCTGATTGTACAGCTCTTTAGGGGCAAAAAGTTGCCAGAACGTCAGCCTCTGATACAGTGAACAGTGTCAGGTTTTCAAACATACATAATATGGCCCAGGAAATAAAAAAGAAAAAAAAATATATATATATATACACACACTAGTCTGGTTTTCTTAAGGAAGTGTAATCAAAGCAAATTATAAGAAGAGTAGACTCTGCTCTGCACTGCTTTTGCTTATTATGTTGTTTCAGCTTTAAAAGATACAAACATATCTGCTACTGCTTAAAGTTCTAGTAATTTTGACCACTTGGAGGAGAAACTAAACTAAGAGTTTGTTAACTCTTACTGGTTTGGATTTGGTACTGGTGAAGGATTTGGAGAAAGGGTAATTCTAGTACATGGTGGGAATATAGATTGGGGAAGCCATTATGGAAAACAGTAGAGAAGTTCCTCAAAACATTAAAATCCGAACTGCCATGTGACCCAGCAGTCCCTCTTCTGGGTATATACTTGAGGGGAATGAAGTCAGTATCTTATAACGATGTCTGCCCTTTCGTGTTTATGACAGCATGATCTAAGACATGGAAACAACCCAAGTGTACCTCAGTGGGATAAAAGGATAAAGAAACTGTGGTATACAGTACACACACAATGGGATATTTTTCAGCCTTTGCAACAACACAGATAAACCTAGAGGGATCCTGCTAAGTGAAGTAAGCCAGACACAGAAAGAAAAATACTGCATGATCTCATATGTGTGAAATACAAACAGAGAAGGAAAAAAGAAAGAAAAAACAAGCCAAATGTGGTGGGAAATACCTATAAATCTCAGCACTGAAAGGCTGAGGCAGGAGGATGGCAAGTTAGAGCCCATCTGGGTAAATTAATGGAGATACTATCTCAAAGTACAAAAAAAAAATCTGAAGATTGAGCTCAGTGGTGGAGCATCTCCAGGTTCATCACCTACCACCACAAAAAGAAAACACTCAAATATATTGAAACAGAGTAGAGAGGTTCAATACAGGCAGTAGATTTTAGGGACACATACAGAAAAGATAACTGAGAAAACAAATGTGTTAAGTTGCTTCACTGTCTTACTGTATATATGTATATCAAAAAATCATGCCATATACCTTAAAAATATTTATCATTTTGAAAATTCATATATAAATTCTAGGACAATCTGTAAAATAGAGCTTGAAGAAGAAGATAAAAGCATAATTTTTTCACATGCAATATCTGGTGTGAAAATGACGTTTGGTTATTTCTGCAAAATCCATAGAAATGTTTTATGCTTCTCTGCTTACTTTTATACCTACCTCTTGTACCTAACAATATGCTTATTCATTATCAATTTGTTTTCTCTCCTCAATCAGCACGACTTTGTTCGACGGGAACGGCCCCCACGGGTCCTCATTGACCTCATACAGAGGACAAAAGATGCTGTTCGAGAACTAGATAACCTACAGTACCGAAAAATGAAAAAAATCCTGTTCCAAGAGACACGAAATGGACCCTTGAATGAATCACAGGAGGATGAAGAGGTAGGTCCAGTTTATTTCAGCAAGCACTCACATGGTGCCTGCTGTGCAAAACAGGCCTGGACGATGAAAACTATTTTGGAGGATAAAAATGTAATTGATGCTGGACCCCTTAAGAGATATGCAAAATCACAGAAGTGTGCATTAAAGTAACTAATAATTAAGGCACTGTCACCATGCAGGGGTACCCAGTGGGGAGAAACTTGGGCAGCCAGTGGGGATGAATGAAGGCATCACTGTGGACATGATATGGTGGTTTTTGATAAATGGGCACAGGACATCTTAGACTGGATAAATGCTATGGTTTAGCGAGATTATTCTGGCTTAGAAGGCAAATGGATTTGAACAGACTACTAGTAGGCCACGTACAAGGTAACAGGACAGTATCAGTAGGAATGCAGGGAGATGAATGCTTCTGAGAAACACTGTAGAGGTAGATGGCTGATCATGACTTCTCCTCAAAAGTGACAGTGAAAGATGATTTCAAGGGGACTAAGCATTTGAGCCTGGGTGGCCTAACAGTATGTTAATACCAAAAATAAACAGAGCCAAAGAGTAGGTTAAGATTACTTCGTGGTGGGACCTATTGAATATAAGACCCAGTATCATATACTACTGACACAGTACACAGACAGAGGTTTTCAGAGAAGAGTGGACATCCTGATTTCTCATTCACCTGTGAAGAAGTGGTTGAATGCAAAGATGATGATGACTGGGAAACCGACAAGTGATGCCTAGCACAAATCTAGAGGACAAGAAAAGCCTTGAGAGGGGGAGCTGTTCTGAAGCACTAAGATGAAAACGAATTCAAGGTTTGAACGGAGAATGGGAATAGCATCCATGTCTTACATGAGATAAAGGCACAAAAGATGTTAAGAAATTTTATACCATCAGCTGGGCCTGGTGACACACACCTATAATCACAGCCCCCTAGGGGGCTGAGGCAAAAGGATCACAAGTTCAGCCAACTTAATGAATTAGTGAAACCCCTATGTAAAAAAAATTTTAAAAAGCCAGAGATGTAGCTCAGTGGAAAGGTCCTGGGTTCAATTTCTAGTGCTGGAAGGAAAAAAAAAAAGTTCATAGCTTCAAAGCAGGAGCTGCAGTGCTATCAGGTGCCAGAGCGGTCAAATAGGACTAGGACCATCAAAGAAAAAGATGAACTAAGATTTATAATTAGGGAGTCCTTGATGACCTTAGGAAGTTTGATCAAAGAGTATAATCAGTATTCAAATTTGGAAAAAATTATTACAGTGAAAGATACACTGCCATTAATCCCCTCACTTTGAACACTGCTCCATCATTCTTGCCACTCCCTGAAGTGGGTGTGGAAGTCCTCATCATGAATGTCTTTAGTTGCTCCAGAGTCACTGCCTTGGTGTCTAAATTGATTCAGAACATTGGCCTTCCATGATCATTACACTTTGGGGAAGGCCATAAACCACAGTACCAGATCTGGTAAATACGGTGGATAAGGGTGCTCCTGGTTGTTATGAGCACGTCTTTCCTTGGGTGGCACTTGGTAGCAGCATATTTTTGATAATACCTTGTAAAGACACAAAAGAGGACTTGCAGAGCTACTTCAGAAAGTGGCAGGAATGGTGGAATAAGTGTTCAAACCAAGAGAATGTGTTTGGAGTTAATGGCCATATGTTGTCTTTTACTATAATAGAGTTCTCTAATTCCAACACTCACTGTATGTTCTGATCACACCTTGTAGGAAAAGCAGTCTTATAGGACTAGTTGGGCAAATAGATTATGGGGCATTGTGGAATAAATGGGAGATAAGAAAGTACAAAAGGCAAAAGCGAATTATTTTAAGATTCAGAAATTCAAGTGAAGAAAAAGCAAACAAGGGCAACATGTAGAGTTCTGAAATATGGGGTAGACTTCTTCATATTTTTGTCTGGAGGTCATGCTATTGGGACAGAGCAAAGGAAATAAAAGAAAGATATAGTTAAAGCAGCTGAACAGGGTAGGAACCAAATATTATTTCAGGAATTATGTTAAACAAGAGAAAACACTCCAGTGTCTCTAAAACTAAATTTTAAAAAAGGAAGGAGTGAAGGATGGATGTGTTCTAGCTTTTTAAAATGAAATAAAACAAAATTATTTTACCAATAATTATAAAAATGAAACTCAAAACACCAAACTGAACTTTAAAATCTCCTGCTTGTGTATATAAAACTGACCTCCCTTAATTGGGACAATAAATCTATTAAAAATGCAATGTATTAGCTATCATCTATCATTTTGTATTATCTTTATATTGCCGTGGGTAAGTAGCTCTTCATTGAAGAGTGTGTGTGTGTGTGTGTGTGTGTGTGTATAGTATGTATGTATTTATATATGTATACAGCCAGTATATACATACAATATGGTTCTTTGAAAGCAGGTTGTATTTGTAGCTAAGTTGATTTAATTACATTATATAATCTTGTATCAAAAGATATTTCACTCTGAGGAGTAAATTATATGTTCAGATTATTTTACCACTTTTCAAACAGTAGTCTTTGGACCACTATGATGAATACCAGCATTATTTAACAGATATATTTAATAAGATTACAGAGGTAAGCATGATGAAATTGCTTAAGGGAGGCAGAATTTAATTACCTGTCTAGGGCAGTAGAATTAATATCCCAGCTTAAATATGAAGTTACACAATAATGGCTTGCAGAAGAGCATATGGCTTATCACAGCTCTGAAAACTCTTTCCTCTCTAGTTCAGTTTCAAGTGACCTCTGCTCTATTTGCAGATATCCTAGAGGTCACCTGTTCAGTGGCCAGCAGTCTTCTTGGCACTTTGATGTATGCAAAGATCTCTGACAAACCTGGCTGATGCTGCTTCCCAAGTAGCAGTCTGACTATGCTAGTTGTGTATGACGGGAAAACCTGGGGTTAGCAGCATTTGGAACCTTATTACCCATGTCCAGAATGGCCCCGGGGGATGGCAGTGAAGTGAATTTGAGATGTCTGAAAATGGTTTGGGAGTAGTGGAGCTACTCCATAAAAAGTTTATCTTTGCAGATTGGCAGAAAAGCAACTTGGCACTGCAGAACTGAGTGTACTTAATAGCTTAGTCAATGGATTGGCACTTTATCTCCAGTCACTGGATTTTTTTGTTGTTGTTGTTTTGTTTTTAACTCTGATGCTCTATTCTTACAGGACAGTGAACATGGACCGACCCTGACCAGGGAAGTGGACAGCCTGGGCAGCAACCACTCCATCCCGAGCATGTCCGTGAGCACTGGCAGCCAGAGCAGCAGTGTGAATAGCATGCAGGAGGTCATGGACGAGAGCAGCTCTGAACTCGTCATGATGCATGACGATGATGAAGGCACAGTAAATTCCAGCTCCTCTGTTGTGCACAAGAAGGTAGGCTCCACAGTAGTCTTTATAGTTCTCCACTTATTAATCTCAGAGTCAGCAAAAGCCGCTCATACCACTTGGCTTCCAGGCCAACTCGTTCCCTTGTCAACTGAAATGTGGGACTAACCCTAGCACTTGACAGATTTCTTATAGCAGCACAATAACAAAGCACTGTGCAGGCTACACGTGGGCCTATTTTTTCAGCTTCCTTCCTCTCTTATTGGTCTCATGTCCACCATCTTCAGTAAACAGAGATAAATAAATCTCTACATCATCACGTCAGAATCCATTCAGTCTTTCTCTAAACCTAGATCCTTCGTCCTGCAGACACTGTGATTCCCAAGTGTGACCTGTCAGTTGTGTCCTCTTCGAAGTGAGCTCCTTCAGGAGTACACATCTTAATCCACAGTCCCAACGCACTATCGCGGAACTCAGAATTCATCATTAATTGGATCCGAGTTGTGTAACGAGTATCAAAAATGATAAATACTAAACAAATTGTTTTAGCTGGAACTACTGATACCAAGAAGTTCTAGCTTGCATATTGTGTAAAACAAACTATATGTCCCAGGATAAATTTTTTGCACCAAAATGTGTCCAGTACCAAATATGACAAGTTTCAAAGTAGGAGAGTACCATAGTAAGACTGTATTTGTTTTAGAGACAGTTTTTACTCTTCTCTGCTGTTTCTTATATTTATTGCTTATAATTCTATTCCCCCCCGCTTTGTCTAAGACACTGTACAGTCTGACTATGTAGTTCAGGCTGGCCTGGAACTCACTAGTAGCATAGGCTGGCTTTGAACATGCAGAAATTCTCCTGCCTCAGCCTCCCAGCTGCTGGGATTGCAGACATGGACCACCATCCTGGCTTTGTTTATATTTCTGTTAACACAAGCTCTCCACTATTTTAAATATTCTGGCTTTCTGATTTACTTATTTTTATGGTGCCAGGTATCAAATCCAGGACCCTGCATATGGTAGGCAAATGCTATACCACTGAGCTATATCCCAGCCCAATACTCTGGGATGATTGATTCTATTTTTTTTATTAAACATCTTAATTTCATATAAGCCTATCATAAGTTGCAATTCCTTATGAATTCTTAATTTCATATAAGCCTATCTTAAGCTGAAATTCTTTATGAAAAACTTTTTAAAGATGTAAAATGTCTTTCAAGACAATTTCTATAAATTGAGTATTTCATGGGATTGTCAATCAATAACTCTTCATATGAACTCTCCAAAAGAGACTTTAGTAAATAGTACATAAGGTGGACTTACAAGAAAGAATCCTTTATAGTGTTTTCTTCCTGGGAAAAGTGAGGAATGTATATACTTACTATAATGAGTGACAGTGATCTCATTCCAATCCTGTGAAACACCGTTGGAGGAGTTACTTTGACTTATACTTCTGTTGTGCTTTTTGCGAGGAAAGAAAAGAAACTGACTGGGAAAGAAGAAAGGGCAACAGAACAATCCATGGTTGCTTAGTTGTCAGTAGTGAAGGTATATGTGTTTATTTTCTAGGACTGATGAATGCAATCATTTACTCCACCAGAAACAATGGTAGAACCTGTCAATGCAAAAAAATAGAACAGGCATGGCATCTTCATGGAACTCATCCTTTGTGGGAGAGAGTAAACAAATAACCACACAAAAATTTCTATAGTATTCTAATGAAATTTGCTCTGGGTTAATTAAACCTAGTCTAGATAGAAACAGTGGAAACCCTACCTGATAAAATACATTTAAACTAAAATGTCAAAGACAGGTAGAAGCTAGTGAACTTGAAAGACCAGAGTAGATCATAAAGCTATAGGTACAGAGTCCCCGAGACAAAAGCTGTGTCTCTTACTCAAGGAAGGGGAGGAAAGCAGAGAGGCTGGGATCCAAGAAATTACATGCCTGGTCCAAAAGGAGAAGTAGTGGGGCCCACACTATTAGGCTGCTATGGAAGTTGGAGGAAAGAATCAGTATCAGAGAGATGCAGAAATCTAAGGGAAGGGAAGGAAGAGAAACAAGATTTTTGCTTGGGATATGGATCAGTGATAGAGCTCTTGCCTTGCACACACAAGGACCTGGGTCCAATTCCTAATGCCACAAATAAAGAAAAGAAGATGAAAAGGAAGAGAAGAAGGAGAAAAAATATCAGGAAACAGGAATTTTTTTTAAATGGAATCAAAAAGAAATCAAAATAGAGCTTTTTCAAATGAGAAGGGGTTAGGAATCTGAAGAAGTGGGTCAGGAGGGAAACAAAGGCAACAAAACAATCAAGATGCATCACTTAGGGATACAGACTCCCCACAATAAATGTAACCATCACCTACTGCAAACATGGACTAATAAAAATAATAAAACAAAAAAATAGACCTCTGCTAAATCTAGCACTGCCAGCTGGTGTCCATTAAACATGAGCAAGTGGTCATGTATTTGAAGAGAACAGGTTTCGCTGTGTCCTGTTCATAGAGAAAGTTATTATGGGTGCCAAGAGGTCTGGTTCTCCTTTCTGACACCTCTGGAACACCACAGGTATCGGGAGCAAAAGCAAAACAACTGGAGTGGATCTTTTTACTCTCGGATGAGTATTCAGAAGTAGAAAAAAGATACTACTGATATAATCAGCAAGAAAGAAGACCCTGGTCTAGAACTCCCTGGAGATTTTCATCCTCATTTTGGCATGCCATTGCAAAGTTACTTTATGATAAATGGGTCTTCCAATAGTTTTCTCTCCCTGATATAATCCCTTAAGAAGAATAGATATAATTTACATTCTGAGACAGTAGATGGTTATATTTGATCCACAAAACAATGTCAGGATGAATTTAAGTTATAGAAGGAATTTCTACTTTATTATGAAATATAGAGAAGAAATGTAGAAGAGAATCAAAACATATTTTTACAAATAAAATACAGAATAAGCTAACATTGAAACATAACTAGACTAGAAAAAGACTATAAAATACATGAAAACTTAACAGTAAGCGTGCTTTCCCTTCATGACATCCATTAAGTCCCTGTACCAAGGCTTAAAAATATGTTCTCTTTAAAAACAACAGAAATTCAGAGTTGCTCAGAAAGTTTATATGCATAGGTTTACTTAACTTCCTGAAACTTAGAGCATAACTGAAGTAGAATCTTAAACTCTAAATAGAAGATTTTACATGTTAGACTATAGGGTAAGGAAACTAGTTTTTAGTTCCATCTGCCACTATCAATTGTATTTTACTTTGAAAGGTCACAAACCTCTCCCCCATTTCTCCATTTGACCAATTAAGATTTGTTCTGTATGATTTCAAAGCTTCCTTCGAAGTCTGAAATCCAGTGCTTCTGTTCGTTACCCATACCTCCTACAGAACTCTGCTTTTCTCTCTCATATTCACTGTTTGGGATCCACTTCAGATTTCCCCTGAAAAGGAGATTAGAATTTTCTAGAAGTCACTGCTCCAATAGTAGCTTCTCCACACAGGAGGAGGGTGATTGCACCTTGTCACACACAGGTTCTAAAAAACATTTGTGTCACAGGTTGGCTTCTTCAGAAAGCAAAGCTGAGACAACAAGGTGGCTCTGCTGGATTTCTCTTTCATCAGGGTGTTCCCTAGGGAGGAAGCAGGAGGCACAGCGGCAGTGCACAGGGTAGACTCAGAGGCAGGCCCGCCAGAAGCCTCAGCCAGCCCACAGGGAGCACAGAGCTCCAGTGGCCCCTCAGAGCTGTCCACCTGGACAGACATGGCCATGGCTAGAGGCCTCAGCCTTCTTTGTCATTGCATGCAGGTAACCAGGAAGGACATGAACTTGGGCAGGTATGCTCTAGGCAGCTGAATGGTGATCCCAAAGGAGCAGACAGCCCAGATGACTACTAGCAGCTAGAGCAGAAATTCCTTCCTTAACAGGGGATCTGAGCAGTGCTTTTCTGAGGCTGTCGTGATCTGTGATCACAAAAATTATTTTGGAAAAACATTGAGCAATATGGTTTTACAAAATACCAGTTTTGCATGGGTTCATGTCCATGAATTTTTTTCTTTGAGACAGAAACTTGATACATAGTATAGGCTAGCCTTGAGCTCACTGTGTACCTCAACTCAAACTTGTGGCCATCCTCCTGCCTCAGCCGCCTGAGTGCTGGTATTACAAATGTGTACTACCACTCCTGTCATAAACTATATTTTTTATTTTTTTATGTTAGTTTCATGTCCCAGAATTTTAGAATAGCCAATGTACCATTATATTATCATGCAATAAACACAGTCCTAGCCATTATCTCATTATCCTACTTTTTAAATTCTTGGCACTAACATTTTCATATTGTTAATATTTTTATCTGCTATTTCATTAGAATGTAAATTCTGGGCTGGGGATTTAGCTCAACGGCATAAGTGCCTACCTTGCAAGCAGGCAGTCATGAGTTCAATCCCTGGTACCGATAAAAAAGAAAAAGACAAAAAAAAAAAAAAAAAAAAGAATGTAAATTCTGTCAGGTAAAAATTGTACTTGCCTTTTTCAGCACTGTATCCCCAGAACATTGTCTGTCACAGTGCAGACAGTTGGTCAATAACTACAGAACAAATGAGTGAATGAAAAAATTAATTATCATGAGTCAAATGTGGTGTTGCATGCGTGTACTCCCAGTACTTGGGAGGCAGAAACAGGAGGGCTGCTGCAAGTTCAAGGCCAGCCTGAACTACGTAGTGAGACCCTGTCTCAACAACAGTAACAACAAAATTAATTATCAAATACTAAACATCATGCTAATCCAGTTCATGGGGCATAATGGATTAAAAGGGTTAAATAAGTATTGTCTTTATAGCTTGACCAAGTTAATTGATTATTTTTTCCATAAATAATACCCAAGACAATAAGAACATTGATAAATAACAAGATATAAGAATAAGTATAAATCAGGAGTGATAGTGCACACCTGTAATCCTAGCACCCTTAGAGGCTGAGGCAGGAGGATCACAAATTCAAGCACTGTCTAGGTAACTCAGTGACCTAGCAAGATTCTGT